TAACAGACTCTCTTTTTTCTCTTATTCATTCGGACGTATGGGGTCCGTTTTCAATTGACGGTCGGGCGGAAATTTGGCATCAGTCGGCTGTTGAGAAGAACTTCGGCTTCAATCAACAGTTGGGCAGAACTCTGGCGTCAGTCGGCGGTGGGGCAGAACTCCGACGTCGGTGGAAGTCCGGCGCCGCTCGATTCGACTATAAACATGTCCAGTTTGAAAACTGTTTGGTAATTCAAATTATGGATTAAACCTTCCAAATGCGCTTCAGGTATTTGATTTGGACCTATTTGAGCTCGGATTTGGTTGAATTTGATGTCGTTGGGTTCGTATTTTCGAGACATTCAATTTGACCATAATTTTGCTGAAATAGGAGTTCATATGGTTTTTTATTTAATATTTTAAGTTTCCAATTTTATTTTACGTCATATTCGTCTCCGATCAAGATAATTTGTTGATGATATATCAAGATTGAATTTTCTAATAGTAATAGAAAAGTATTTGATGCACTCTCATGTACATAACTGTTCTGTTTATGACCACAAAAAAAAATTAGCGAAAACAAACTAAACATCAGCAGGTTTAGAACAAAGAAGGCAATGAGACCAGAGACATGATTTCAGACATTTCTATTCATTACGCAACTCTTCAATACGAGGCAGTATTCTAGAATCCTTAAAAGGAGGAAAGAAGCAAAACAAACTTCAACACAAATGATCAACATAAAATATTTACATGTTCACCCTTCCAAAATTATAATTAGCCACCTTCTTTCACTCAAGCGAACCTTCCCTCCCAAATTTTCATTGAGAGCTTCTACTTTTAACACCAAATTTGACAAGTAATCCTCCACTGATACTCTACGTTTGTTCTTTTGTTTTCCTCATTTAGATGTTTCTATAAGCTTAGGGCTTTCCCAACTGAGAATTCAGCATAAGATGCTGGTAGAAGAAGGTCTGAGAGATGTCAAACTGATTGATAAGTTGATCATAAATTTGTGAGTAAGTGTTGATCCTCTTCGAAGGATTCAGATAACCTCCAAACTCATCAACCTCGAAGTTTCCCGTCATTCTTTGTCGTTTCAAACTGTTTTCAGAAACCAAAGCAGAGGATTCTGATTCTATGGCTTGCGATGTTAAGTAGCTGCTACTTGTGTTGCTGATATTCTCCGTTGAGTGCTGGCTAAAATTAGCGTTTGAAAATGGAGCCTGGCCTAATACTGGGGTGCTCGATGGCGTGTCCAGCAGACGAGACAGTAAAGAGAAATCAGTCTCCTCGATTAGAAGCTCAGACAAAGAGAAAGACTTGTGGATCTTGCTATTGATTATTGATTTCTGCAAGCTGGCTTTTTCTCCAGCAGAGTTTTCTTGCTCTTGATCCACCGAACTGTGATAGTTGGTCTTCTGATAGATTCGACAGAGAACCCAATCATCCAACTGCAATTTCAATTTTAACGAAAAAAATCTGTGAGTAATTAGCAAATTACTATAACAAATCAGATATATAGAATTCATCAAAGTTTTACTTTCTCACCTTCATGGAGTCCTCCTTATGCTTCGCTGGCCTTCTTTTACTTTTGTTCAGAGACTCAACTAGTTTGTACTCATGCATGATCCAGTTAGTCTTCACACCCTTGGGCGGCTTGCCCATGTAGAACACCAAAGCCTTCTTAACTCCGATGCTCTCATTTCCTTTGCTCATCGTTATCGGCTTGTCCGTTCCAGTCGCCTTCCAGTACCCCGACGCCGCCGCCCGGTTGGGCCGGATGCCATTGGGATACTTTCGATCCCTTGGGCTGAAGAAGTACCATTCTCTATCCCCAAACGTAGCTTTTTCTAAACCAAAGTGATTGGAAAATCAGAATTTGAAGTGAGCGGTTTACAAAAACTAATTAAACGAGAACTTTTTGAAGAAGTGGCCTCACCTGGAAGGTCCCATGGATTGAACTTGTATATATCGACATCAGCAATGATCGACGAAGGACAGGGCGACGGCCCCAATCGCTTGCGTAGATAATGAAGGATGAGCTCTTCATCGGTGGGATGGAAGCGGAAGCCCGGCGGCAGAGAGGGTGAGCCGTTGGACATGGCTTTAGGCACTGTAATACAGCTTGGAGTTTGAAAGACGACCAGAGAGGAGGATGTCAGGAGTTTCTATATTTTGGATCTGGGAGCGGAAGTAGCCTTTTTATAGTTGCTGGGCTTTGTTCATGCGGAGATAAAGATATTTGGGGTAGAGAATTGTATTTAGAACGTTCAGATTCATGGTTATCGAATTCGCCCCCTTGTAGCCTTGTAGAGCATGGTTTCATTGGCGTCATTTACCGGGGAAAATTTTAAGGTAAAAAGGTCATGGAAAAATTTTATGCATTCATATACATCTTGGTACCAATTGCAAATTTACTCATAAAAATAATGTTATAAGCTCTTTATATATAATATTAAATTTAAAATAAATCCAGTACTTTTTAAATCATTTTTGTGAATTTTTTTCATCTATAAGATTTGTTACAAATGTAAATGCAATGTGCTAATAAATGGCCCTACCCTTCAATTTCATCTACAATTGGCTCAAAAACTTAGAGTTTAAGTTGAAATGTCAACCCAATTTTGACCAAAAAATTCATTTTATATTCTTTTCCTTTAAATTATTTTATTTCTTGGTATTACCTTCTAATTTTTATGAATTAATCTAAAATCTATAGTTAATAAAAATATTTTTTAATTAAAATGAATTATGAGGAGGATTTGGGTTATTAGAAGGTCGGGTATGAATTGATCGCATTCAAGTCATTTCAAATTTCATATTGGACTCAAACCCAAATGGCTGACCCGTTTTAACACTCTTGGTAGGCCTGTCAAAAAAGATTTTTGGTTCATGTTCACGTCCAACCTTGAAATGACCCACTATCATCTGATCTGACCAGACCTTATTAAGGAAACATATCATAGAACTGAACCGCTGAACTCGACCCGATTCAAAGTTGGGTTAAACTAACATGACATGCCAACCCATTTTTTATTATTATTTTCTAATTCCATTTCGCAAGCAGCGGGCTTCTCCAGCCAAATCCCATTCCCATTTGGAAATTTGACCATTAGCGCACTAAGCCCCATAACACCGTCTTCCCATTTCACGCACTTTGGCCAATTTGTATAAATCTCAGTCCACTAGCCCCGCATCACCACTTTCTTTATCACGCTTTGGCCAATTCATGTTCGCCCGCTTTCCCAATTTATATTTCGCACCCTGCTAAGCCATTGACCCGAATCGTTAATGAAATGAAATCCCATGGCAGGGTTTCGGATTTTGCATGCACCAAAATCCATGAATTCGATCGTGTGCTTCATTGCCAAAATTGAAAATTAGCTTGATTCTGATCAAAATCAGGTTAATTTCGGGTTGACGGGTTAATCTAGACTTGACCTATTTATTAAACAGGTCAAAATTTAAGACGTGAATCCGATCCTTTTGTTAAACAGGACAACACGCATACGAAATTTTCAAGCCAGAATCGAGAGTGAGATGTGCATGGCCAGTCGGGACCACCTTTCAACAACTATGGTGGGTTGTATGTGGATTGTGTTAAGGCGAGGTTGAGTTTTTGATCTTGTGAGCTTTCGTAGCCGTTTGATGAAGAAAAAATAGAGACAAGATGTGATTTGAAAATTCCGAGGGATGATGACGTGTTGTGGGCAGCTGGAGCCCCTGAAGAGACATCCTAAAAATGATACCAAAGTTTCTCCTAAAATAAAAATAAAAGGCAAAATTTGTTATTTTCAGAAATGAGTGAAATCGCTAAATTACCACTTTATAAAATAATAGAATGAGCGGAAGGATGTCATTTTATCAAAAAAATATTAGATGTTTAAAATAGGGCGACGTGGACTCGTAATTAATATTATTTTAAGTAATGTAATATTTTCTTACACATTTAAATTTATTTGATTAAATTATAAGATACTTTGTTCAGATAAAAGGTATTTTAAACATGAACAATATTTTGCAATGTAAATTTAGAGTTTTCATAATATATTTCGACTAAATATAAGATTTTATCATATATATAATAAATAAATTTGGATCATATTATTTTTGATCAAATGTACACACAGGCATCTTAAATTTATTAAATTTATTTCAAGAAAGTGTAATATACAAGGGTTTCAAATTTGACCCGACCTGAAACTTGATCTGAATCCGATCCGGAAAATTATGAGTTCGGGATAACTCGTATACCATACGGGTCGGGTTCGGGTACCATTTCCCAACCTATTTATAAAATCGTGTCAAGTTCGAGTTGACCCGAAACTCAAACTCTACCCGAGTTAACCCAAAAACTAGCATCGTGCATCGTGCTCACTCACGTGGCCGTCCTCGCGTCCGTCTGCTCGATAAGCTCGGCTCGCGAGCTCATAAACGAGTCAAGCTTGAGCCGGCTCAGCTCACTTACACCCCTAGGTTAGACCCGAACCTAGTATATTGACCCATTTTAATACCCCCAATAACATTAATAAGTTATGAAAATTATATTGCACACTTTCACAAAATAAATTCATTAAATTTAAAACTCATTTTCATAAAGAATTTAGTTAGAATGTCTTAATCAATTTATTCATATAAAATTCAGTCAATTATAAGTTTATAACCTTTTTTTTTAACTATCATATCATATTTTCTTTAGATAACGTTTAAAAATTATTCCAAAATAAAAAAAAATAGGTTCAAACAAAAAATCGTTGATCAAAATAAATTAGAGAAATATATTGTAGATCAAAATCTGAATTTAAATTCAATCAAACTACAATAATTGATGAATCACTATAAAATTACTTATTAAGTAAAGTATTCTTTATAAAAAGGAGATTGGATAAACTCATCAACAAAGATATATCGATAAATGAATTTGTTGATGCAACAGAGAATGTATAAAAGTTTTTATTATGATTTTTCAGGCGCACGCCTGGAAAAACCGTCATATGTAATCCACTGCAATGCTGAAACAGAAAACAGGGTGATTGGCCAACCACTGATCAAAAGGTGGTTGTACACCTGTTGTGATTATGTTTGTTGTAATTAAAGGGTTTCGAGTTTGCTAATTAGTGACGGATGAACACACATGATTGAAGTCTGTCAGCTTTAGCTTCGTTCCAGTCTCTTTCATGACTAATCAAGATCAGAAAGTATTTTCTGCCGCAGCAATCTACAATTATATTCTTTTATTAATATTATTATTTTTAGACATTTAAGTAAATTAAAACAAATTCATATACATATCACATATATAAGATTTGAATTCTAGATTTTTAGTTAAAATTATTGTAAGTTTTTTCTTAGATTTTTTTTTTTAACTGAGAATCATGTTTAGTCAATTTCCTTAAATCACATAGCTCACCTTGACATGTTGGTTGAGAGCTTAGGCTTCCAACAAAGATGTCTTATGTTCGAGTCTTTGTGTATATGTTGTGTGTATGAATTTGCCTTAAATGACCTAAATGTCCCAAAAAAAATTTCTTTAAATCAATGGTCCCCAATTCGAAATAGTAATAGACTAGTTGAATCGCACATAGGAGCTTTGACTACTAATCAAAAGATAGCCCTCCCAAAAACATAATAATAGTAACAGACATATAAGTGGGTAATCCTCATTGCCTCTAAAAATTGTGCTTAGAACATCCAAAAGCCAAGATCGATAAATTAGCTTATCCAGCAAACCAAAACCAATCAAGAAAGAGGAGCGGATCTGATATGTGAAACATATACATACAACTCATCTTGCTCTATTGGTTGGGAGCTTTAGCTATCAATTAGAAGTTCTTAGATTCAAATATTATGTATGTGATATGTGTGTGAATTTATCTTAGACTTCATTTGAGAGAGCTTTCTTACTGCTTCTTAAAGTAATCTTCTAGTACAAAAATTAAAAAAAATAACTGCTTTACAAAAAAAAACAATAAAAAAATAGTCCCAAATAAAATCTTAATTTATCTAAATGCCCATAAAAAAGCAAGTACAAACCTTCAACTTAAGATATTTTATTTGAAAGCCTAATCTCCCACCAATAAAATGAGTTGCATCAATAATTAAATTGCAATAAGCACTAAAGGTGTGCCAGCCGGCCGCAAATACATGATTTGTGAGATATGGTGGAAATTGTGGCGCTCCGCCGCATGGAATGACGTTTAAACTTTAAAGTGGAGGATGGTGAGATTAGAAAAAAGTTGCAATTATACAAAGTTAAATTTTTTTTAAAGGGCATGCCTCCATTCACAAATTTATGTTTTCCGTAAAAGTAAAGATAGCCTCATAGCCGATAGGGTTTTACTTACTTTGATTTGATTGGATTATGTCGCATCTATTAAATATTTAGTTTATTTTTTTAATTAGCTCGTTAAGTAAATAACTTTGTAAAAATAAATAAATATTAAATAGATGCGATCGAATAACGGAATAAGGCATTTAAAGAAAAAAAATATTTATATAACAAATAAAGCTGAATAGATCAGGAGAGGATGCAGAGAAATCTCGAAAATAGATGATGAGGAGGTTCTATTTAATATTCGGATAGCATAATTCATTGGTTGAGAGATGTTAAACAGTTAAAGTGAGTTTTGCTTGACAAGAAGAACATTGTGAAGTAGGAGGGGAGATGATTAAGGTTTTTTTTTTGGATAACTTTTTGCTCTATTTTTTAAATTAGTTTTCTAGCACAAAAATTTTAGTTTAATAAAAATTGTACTTAAAAGTTGCTTTAAAAAACAGTAATAAAGTTATCTCAAACGAAACATAAGGCTTTATATATAACAGTTTTTTTACTACTTCACTTTTCAGTTCATATCCATATTTTTTGTTAGATCATTTTTCACTGTTTTTAATAAATTTTTATGTTAGGAGGCTATTTTTCACAATAATTTTCTTCAAAGTAATTTTATAAATAATATTATAAAAAATTGCAGTCATCTCAAATGAACAGTAAGAATGAAAATGATAGAGAAGAGAATGTATGATCCAGCTTAAAGAACCTTGAGCCCTAGGTTGGAGGTACAAGTCTAGGAAGTGCAGAAACCTAAGTGTTATAATACTCTATCAGAGGGCAAATTATTACGTTCGGTGTCCGGATTCGTCCGGAAACCAATCCAGACACGCAACGTCACAAAAATACTTCGGGTCCCAGTGTATTTGGGTGACGTGGCGTATCTGGATTGGATGTCCGGACGT